GCGCGTCGTGTTTTCCGGAAAGGGGCCCGAGTCCCACGAGACGCTCGTCGCCACCACCGACGCCGCCGTCGGGTTCACGCCGTGGGAGCCGCCCAACGGGTGGGTCGCGCCGCCCGTGGTTGAGGGCGACGAAGAGAAGCGCGACAAGAAGAAGAAGTCGAAGGGGCACAAGGCGCGCAAGAACGTCGTGGGCGACGCGCCGCCGGCGGGGCACGTCGACGACGAGGTTCGGCCGGATGTCGCCGTTGCGCCCGTCAACCAGATCCTGGACGCGGTGGTCGAGGCCGCCGACGTGGTGTCAGTCGCCCCGTGCAAGCCAGCCGTTGCGGGCGGCGGGCTCACCGCGCCCGCCCCTCCTCCCTCGTCCCTCCTGCGTTGAGTCGCAAAGAAGAACTACTATCCGTCTGTCCATCCATTCCATTCCCAAGTGCCGTGCTGTAATATATCTCCCCTCCCCAGTCTACCTCGCGACCGCCCTCCGCTCGCCTCGCACCAGCGCGACCGCCTGAATCCGCCCCCTCGCACGCTCGACGGTCGCCTCGACGCGGTCGCGGTCCGCCTCCTCCTCGGCGCGCAGCCGGTCCTTGATCCCCGCGAGCTGCCGCCGGATCGCCTCCTTTTCCTCGCGCACGCGCCGCCGCTCGTCCGCCGCGCGCGCCTTGCGCGCCACTTCCTCGTCGAGGCGCACGCGCTCGAGCTCTTCCTCGAGCAGACGCAGCTGGTCGGCCACGTAGTGCGCGCGCGCCGCGGCACGTTTCTCGGCGTCGCGCCGACGCTGCGCTTCGCGGTCGTGGGCGAGGCGCCGTGCGTCGGACTCGGCGAGGCGTTGCCGCGCGGCGGACTCTTTTAGTAGCGCGTCAAGGATCTACATGAAGGGTCAGTTGGTGTGCAGGGAGGGAACGGCAGTGAGAGGCGTACCCGCTCGTCGCGCCACCGCTGGCGCAGCTCGAACCCGTGCAGCTCGGCGCGCGTGTCGGCCTGCCGCCGGCGCAGGCGCACCAGCTGCCGCTCGCGCTCCCTCGCCTCGGCGCGCGCGCGGGACACGGTTGCGCGGTGCTCGCGGTCGTTTTCCTGTGCTGGATGCGTTAGCGTCGCGTCCATGACGGCATTCCATGCAGCCGTACTTGACGGTCTAGGACCGACTCGACCGCTGACGACGCCGACAACGTCTGGCTGCTGCTGCTCCGCCACCTCGCCTCGGCGCGGGCCGCCGTCGACAGGACCGGCGCAGACTGCACCCTCTGTGTCTGCTCGCGGTTCTTCTGCACGGTGGACCGGCGCGCGAGGTCGGCGGTGCGCCGCGTCGCGTGGCTCACCTGGTGCGCGTCGAACCGGCGCGCCGCCGAGCTCTTGGACTCGAGGCCCTCGCGCAGCGGGAGGCGGGACACGAGGGTGCTTGCGTGGTCTGTGTTCATTGCATCGAGTCTTCGTGGGTGGTGGTGGGGAAGCAGAAAGAGGGTGGAGACGCGGGCATGTGATGCAGCGTGGCGGGTGGCGAGACACGCGCGAGGCGGCGCGACGCGTCGACCATCTCGCCGGCCGAAAGGGCCCCTGCTCTCCCCCCCCCCTCCTCCTCACGATCGGACCGCGCGGAGGCGCCCATGGATTCAGCTGCTGCAACGGACCCGACACCATGAACTTTCTCGGCCTGTACGCCGCGCCGTGCGCCGCTCGCCGATCCGCGCGCAATGACCTGACGCCCGCGTGCGCGTCTCAAGGAACAAGAACAAGACGTTCAAGCCCAAGAAGAACATCCCCGAGGGCACCAAGCAGCACCAGCTGAAAAAGTATGCCGAGGCCACGCTCGGGTCCGGCAACCTGCGCCTCGCCGTCGTCCTGCCCGACGGCGAGGACGAGAACGAGTGGCTCGCCGTGAACAGTGCGTTGACCGGGACTGTGTTCACGGTCGTGGGCTGACGTTTACGGGATGTGTAGCCGTCGACTTCTTCAACCAGATCAACATGCTGTACGGCACCATCTCCGAGTGGTGCAGCCCGCAGGACTGCCCGATCATGACGGCTGGGCCAAAGTACGCTGCGACGAGGAGCGTGTTGTACGTATGCCGCTGACCGCCCCGCACGCTCAGATACGAGTACCACTGGTGCGACGGCGTCCAGTTCAAGAAGCCCGTCAAGGTGTCGGCGCCCGAGTACGTCGACTACCTCATGGTACGCGAACACGCCTGTGTGCGAGTCGACGCCGCTGACACTTGACCACGCGTCCATCTAGACGTGGGTGCAATCGCAGTTCGAGGACGAGGCCGTGTTCCCGAGCAAGATCGGTACTCGCGCCCCCACCCCACCCACACTCACCACCGCCCTCACGCGCACTAACCCGGCGGACTCATCTCACAGGCGCGCCGTTCCCGAAAAACTTCAAGTCGACGGTCTCCACCATCTTCAAGCGCCTGTTCCGCGTCTACGCCCACATCTACCACTCGCACTTCCCGCGCATCGTCTCGCTCGGCGAGGAGGCCCACCTCAACACCTCCTTCAAGCACTTTATCTTCTTTGTCCAGGAGTTCCACCTCATCGACAAGAAGGAGCTTGAGCCCCTCCGCGAGCTGATTGTCACGCTGACCGAGAAGGCGTAGCGTACGGGTTAGCGATGATGGTGATGGTGATGATGGTGAATATAGAGCTTTTGGAGTAGCGTCGGTCATTGGGCACTCTCAACTCGGAGAAATGCGTTGAGCAGCGGGCCGAGCGTTAGTCCAATACTGGTCGCAAGTTTGCGCTGGCTTCACATGGCGCACGGCGCAAAACTGTACAAATGAGCGCAGCGTTGGGGCCACTCGACAGCGTTTTACATTGTGGGATGTGGTCCGTGACACGCTTGCATAAACCAGCCATATCTTCGGGCCAACAAGTCCGCGCTCCGCCACTCACGTGCCATGACCACCGCGTCCTCGGCCGCACTCGCACGCGGTGATAGGGAGATGAATTTGGCAGTAAACATAAAAATAGATAAATAAAGGTGAAACCAACCGCGCTGATATTAACGAATACCCTTCGACTCGAGCCACTCCTGCGTCCGGTCCACGCTACTGCGCGGTTCCTCGTTGACACTTGACCCTGCAATTGAAGCGACCCACTTGCCGAGCAGCGCAATCACCCTATCGCTTGCTGCCGCGGCAAGACGCGGCAGCTCGAGCATTTCACACAGTTCAACGAGGTTGATCCATGTGTGCAGGGCCACGGCTTCGAGGTCGAGGTTGAGCGACTCGGTCAAATTGTTCAGCCCCTCCGGGAGCTGCTCGCGCGGGGTCCACCCGCAGTAGAGGTGAAGGAGTGCGATCCCAAAGGCCGCCGGGTGCCATGTTGTCAGCGCGATGGGATGGTTGGACTCGCGCCAGTTGCCCGAGAAAATGCGGTTGAGGAAGGGCGACACGGAAGCGAACACTACGCGAGAAACACGGATCTCGGTTCCTTCTACGCCCACGTTGAACACAACGTCGCAAAGCTGGGGATCGTTGAGGGTGCGTGTCAGGTTGGACATGGTCGCGGACGAGTCGCGGATGAAAGGCGACCACCCGCTCGAATGTGACAGTGAACGAGTGCAAGTTTTCCAGGCCACCCCCAAAACGAGTAGACCTAGGGCACAAGCGTCCGTGACTGCTCCCCAGCGTTTTCTGCAGCGATGCCGTAGTCGTTCGTCTGCTTGCCGTCGCACGAAGTGCACGTTATGCAGAACCGAAGCGAGACCGCGGTTCGCGCACCGACGATTGGCAGCAGAATCAGCCCGACGTCCAAGTTGGCCTTGACGGTGCTGCTAGTGTGCCGGCGTGACACAAATAGCGCAAAGGACCTCGCACCGAGCTGTGCCGGCAGGCTTGTCGTGGCAGTCTGGAACGCGGCGGCCTTGTGACGCTCAACATCCATTCGGTTCGCGAAAAAGGTGAAGCCCACGGGTGGCCCGTTATGGCGGACCGCGGACGAGAAGGTAATCTGTTGTTCGCGAGGCAACTGTATCAGATATCGCTCTTGCATCTTCGTCAAAAATGCGTGTTCATACGTAACGGGTACGACATGGTGGAGCAGGCGAAACGTTCGTGGACGCTGAGGATGTGTGCGCGACGGACGACGGCAAGCAGAATATGAGGCGTCCACCTTTTGTCAAGGTCCGGGAGAGAGCGAAAGCCTGGTCTGCCTTTCGCTTGATGAACACGATGATAGCATTGACGAAGTGCGGGTCACGCAGGGTATGCATGCATCGTGGCCACGTGCTCGTCACTTCTCTAATCATTATCGCCGCCGTTCCAGCCATTTACACTACGGCCTGATGCCAGACGCCTGCTAGCGCTTAGCTAAAGGTCAATAGTGATGCTGTGTTGTTCGTCGAGAATGAGGCGCGACCGTACGCGAGGCCCTTGCGGGCTTCGCCACTCACGTGTTGTAACCGACGCGTCAGCCGAAGCTCGAGGTAGGCTTCCGATCGCCACCAGCCATCAGATGAGCCATTATTTTGATCGTCAACACATATCCCAATTCTTCGATAAATCACAGGACAACTCGTGGCCAGCTGGTGACGCGCACTACATGCTCAAAGAGGACATACTTGCCTCGCCGCTCGTGCCGGTGCTGGCCAAAGCGATCGACTCCACCCGCTTGTCGAGCATCTGAACGGCCCGGTCGCGTGCAGCTGAAGCGAGAAGTGAAAGCTCGATCAGACGCACGAGCGCGATCGCGAACGATCGGAGTCCATATACCCCAGTCGGGTGCTCCTGCGCCCTGTAGGTCGGAAACACGAGGTCAGCTACAACCTCGCACAGAGTGACACGATTGCGGACCTGACTGAGATCGGTCAGGCGTGCAGTGCGCGTGTTGTGCCACACAACCAGTGGTTGGTCAGTCCTCAGTCTCCGCGTGCCCGCGCGACTCGCGCACTGCCGTGTCGAATAAGTGCGCGCCTAGCCCTGCCGTTGCTTTCAAAATCAAACATTGTGACGTTTATCGCGACAGCTTAGCGTGCCAAAAATAAAGGCTAAAACGAAAAAAGAGTGAGGCGTGAGTGAGTCGAACACCCAACCTTTTGATCTGGAGTCAAACGCGCTACCATTGCGCCAACGCCCCTCTGAAAACTATTCCGTAACCAACTACATGATGCCATGGACCGAGCGATACGCTTTACCATCGGCCGCGCGCGATGAAGGGGTCGCGAACCCCTTGCTTGAAGAAACTTACTGAGCTTGAGCTCGCGATCACCTTCCGAACTATCCGTTGATCAGGAAGAAAAGTGTATGTATAACCAACTCATCCACGGGGTGAAAACGTCAAACTGTACATCCATCACTCACCCTCTAGTACTTGGACCCGTACCCCGCGCCCTTGGCGGGATCCTGGCCCTGGGGCGCCGTGCGGCGCTTGCGGCACGCCTTGGGCTTCTTGGCCACGGGCTTGGCCGCGCCGTACCCGTTACCAGCCGGGTCGGCCGCCGCGGGGGCCGCGGGCGCCTCCGAGTCGCGGCCGTACGACGCGTTCGACGCGGGGTCGACAGCGGCGGGCGACGGCGAGGGCTTCGCGTAGCCCGCGTCAGCGGTCGCCGCGGGCGCGGGACGGCTGCCGCCGTAGCCGCTGTGCTTCTTGTCACCGCCGTCAGAGCGAGCCGGGTCGGTGCCTGCAGCGGGAGCAGCGGGCCGGCCGCCGTGGTTGTACCTCTTGGCCGCGGGCGCGGGCTGCGCGGGCGGCGTCGTGAGCGAGGTAGCGGGGTCGACGGCCTTGGGCGCCTCGGTGTGCGTGGCCTCGACGCCGTTCTGCTCGGGCGCGGGCTTGGGCGCCTTGGGCTTGGGCTGCTCAGCAGCGGCTACGACCTTGGCGGGGGCCGACGCGGGCGCGGGAGCCGCGGGCTTGCCGTAGCCGTCGCCGGCGCACCCGTACTGGTTCAGGTTGTTGGTGCCGAACGTCTGGGTCCAGTAGGCGCACTGCATGCCGCCGGCCGAGCCGGGGCAGTTGCCGAGCGCGCGGGCGGCGCCCATCTGGTTGTAGGCGGGGTTCTCGATGTTGGCGCGGTGGCCGGCCGAGTTGATCCACGACTTGTAGGCGCTCTGCGCCGTCTCGCCCATGAGCGAGCCGCCCGTGCTCGCGAAGGCCACGTTCTCGGCGGCGGCCGTGAAGCCCGTGTAGCCCGTGTTGCGCATGCGGTCGAAGGGCGACTCGCCGCGCGTGCCCTCGTGCGCCATGTACCGGTTGGCGGCCATGTCGAGCGAGTGGACCGTGGCCGCGTCGTTGAGCGTCGGCGTCAGGCACAGCGGCTGCGCGCCGATGCTGCGGCGGTGCTCGTTGACCAGGTTGAGCAGCTCCTGCTGGTACGACTCGACGGGGCCCGTGGGCGTCGACGGCGGCGTCGAGGGCGCGGAACCGGAGCCCGAACCCGTGCCGATGGTGATGGGGCTCGTCGAGGGCGTCCCGATGACGATGTTGGCCGAGGCGTCGGCGCCCGGAGCCGTGGCGGCAACGGCGAGGGCGATGAGGAGGAGGTTGACGACCGAGGCGTGCATCGTGAAGGCAAGGAGGTGGTGATGGAGAAGGTGGATGGAGTGGTTGGTAAACGAACGATGATTGTCTAGCGGGGGAACACAGTTCCCTCGAGTCTATATGGTCAGTAGGATAGCGGGAGCCGCAGCGGTGGGCGGGGACAAGCTGAGCTTTATGGAAGCCTCCGCCCGCCCTGTGCGCGCCCGCGGAAAACCGCGCTTGCAGCAATCGAGTGCGGGCGGGAGTGGAGGTGGCTTGGCAAATGCAGGGACGCTCGGGCGAGCATCTCGGTTCATTTTGCAAGCTCATGAGGGCGCGCGGGCAGCTGGTTGGGCGGGCGAGCGCGAAATGAAGTGGCGATGGCGCGCGTGGCGCAGCGCGGGGACACGAGTGTCTCGCGGTTCGAGATCACATCTCGATCAGAGTCACGCTGCGCGCGCGTGACCGCGGCTGCGTCACTTTTTTTCTTCGCGCGCCAGTGATCGACGGGCCGGAATCTCGTTTCAGCTCCCCGCACGCCGTGCCGTGTGTTTGCGGCCGTCGTTTGACGTTGCGTCGGAAGAAATCAGCGACCGCTCGCTGCTGACGCGCTGGGACGGAGCGGATCGTCGCTCAGTGAAGCGGGTTGCTGGAGAGCGTGCTCAGGGATCGATTAGGCCAGGATCAGGGCCGGCGCGAGTGATTTGCCGGGTGTGGGTGGGCACGGCGAGGTCCCCGTTCTCGGGCTGTCCGTGTTGAGCGGGTTGAGCGTCACGCAGCGACCACGGGGGCCGCGCTGAGCGAAACGCTTGTCCCTTGCCGTGCCATCTCCGCTGCTCTCCCCCGCCAACGCGCGCGTGTGGCTCAAGCTCTCCCCCTCCCCCCCCCCCCCCGCCCGCCCTTGACCGCTACGAAGCTTAGACCGGCCGAGGCCGCGACTCCCTGCAACGCATCCGCTCCGCCCCGGCGCGCCCTGCCACGCCCCCGCCGGGACTTTTTGCCGCCCGCCGCTCGACGCTTCGACTCGGGACCGCATCCGCCCTCGCGCAGCGTCCGCTTCGTTGTCCACCATCAACGCGGCACTCTGAATACCCTCCAACCTTTCAACCCTCCAACCAACCGAATCATCGCCATGGTGTCGCACGGCAAGACCCTCGCCGCGCTGTCCTTCGTCGGCCTGTCGCCCGTGTCGACGCTGGTCGGCTTCCTCATTGCCGTCGTCCTCATCTTCTCGTGCTTCGGATCGACCCTGCTCGGCCTCCTGTTCGGACTCCTCGCCAACCTCGTCGTGCGCCAGCACCGCGACTCGCTGCTCGCCGCCGCCGCCGCCGCCGAGTCGGGCCGCCGCCAGCCGCAGGCCGCTGCTGCTGCTGCTGGATCCGCCAAGCGTGGCGCCTCCGGCTCGCCCGCGTTGCAGCGAAAGTCTTCCGCACCCGGCACGCCGACGCGATCGGCTGTGTCGACGCCGTCTTCTTCGCCGGCGCCCGCGTCGCCGCTCGCGCCATGGCCCGCATCGGGCAGCAGATCGAGTAGCAGCAGCAGCACGTCGCCCTCTGTGCAGCGAGCGAGCGCGCCAGCGACCCCACCAACGCTGCGCACCATCGTCCACATCCCGCCCGTCTCGCCCGGCACCTGGCCAGCGACGCCGTCCAAGCCGCCTGCACGGCCCGCTGCCGATCCGCCCGCAACACCACCCGTCGTGCAGCAGCAGCGACCGCCAAAGCTCGCCCACTCGAGCAGCAGCGGAAGCGGCGGCAGCGACTTTGACCGGACGCCGCGCGTCGCGAGCGGCAAGTCCTCGGCCTACCCTGCCCGGAGCCGAACCGCATCCGCATCGGCGTCCGACCTCGCTCCGCCGTCCGACGACGCGGGCACCGACGACGGCGGCGGGTGGTCCACGCCGCGCCGCTCGCGCGCCGGGTCCCGCAACATGGCGGCGTGGACCACTCCGTCGCCCGCCAACTCGACGCGCCCGCCCGATGCTGCCCCGCTCGCTGATACCGGTCCGCTCCCCGCCGATCCGCGCGCGGCGCGTGCGTCGTCAGTCTCGCAGTCGATCCCGCCCGTCGTGTCCCCGCCCTTGGACGCTGCTCGTCCCGCCCCCGCTCCCGCCCCCGCTCCCGCCCCCGCTCCCGCTCCCGCTCCCGCTCCCGCTCCCGCTGTCGCCGCGGTCGACGCTCCCTCAGCTGCCGCACCTCTCCCGTTACCCCCGCCGCCGCCTGCACCCGTTCCCGTTCCTCCCGCACCTGTATCTGTCTCCGTCCCCGTGGCCACCTCGACCCCCGAAACCGTCGTCGCTCCTCCCCTCCTCCCTCCTCCCCTCCCGTCGACCGCTGCCGCCACCACTACGCCGACCAAGCCGGCCTCGCGCCGCCGCGGGAAGCGGTCCAAGGGCGGGAAGCGCGACTCGGCGTCCTCGGCCGAGGAGCTGCGCGTGCACGAGCCAGATGAGACACCGGCGCTTCCTCCTCCGCCTGTCGTGCCTGCTGTGGTCCCTGCAGCGGCCGCCGGTCGCGCTGAGCGGCCCAAGACGGCACCCGCTAAGACCGAACAGCTGCCGCGGCAACAGCAGCAGCGGCAGACCAACGCCGCGCCGTCGAAGCAGTCGGACGCTAGCAGCGCCGGCCAGATCAAGCGCGTCTGGTCCAAGGACCGCCTCGACCACCTCGAGGCATTCCCGTCGCTCGTCCCCACCGACAAGCCGAGTCTCGATCCCATGCATGGTACGCCTTTGCTTTAGCACCTGGACACGGCGCGGACACACGCTGACTCGCTCCATTCCGTTCATTTGTAGTCGACCCGCAAATCCCTGGCCGCCCAACGCGCTCGCGCCCGGCGTCGCCGCAGCCCGGGAGTGCCGGCGCTGCCGTTGCGCCGTCGCCGATCCTCCCGCCGTCGATTCCGACGTCCGTCCTCGTTTCCAAGTCCGCCGCCATGGTCCGCACCGCCGCCGCGGCGGCCGCGGGCGGCGGGCACTTCCATTATCACCACGCCCCGCCGCCCTTCCACCCGGCCCCGTCGCCCTCGCCGCCGCCGCCCGCGCTCGCGGGGTCCCCGCTCTTTGCTGCCGCCAACGGCGACCCGACGGGCCGCGGCCGGTCGCAGTCGTGGAGCCCTTTCTCCGGGCTGCAGCTCGACCAGCCGATCCAGACCCTGCTCGGCGTCGTCAACGGCATGGGCATGGGCATGGGCAACCTCCCCGGCGCCAGCGCCAGCGCACAGGCCCTCCTGCAGCCGCGCTCGCTCATCGGCCGCGTCCAGCCGCCCACCGCCGCCTCGGTCGCCGCCGCGCTCTCGCACGTCGCGAACGGCGTGATCGCGGCGGGAACGTATTCGCTGTTCCCTGACTCGGCTACGGGTGGTGGCGGTGCGCTCCCGCCCGCGTCGCAGAACGGGTCCAGCTCCGCCCTCTCGAGCCCCGTCCCTGGGCCCATCACCACACACCGCTCGGGCGGCGCCAACGCGCACACGCACCAGATGCACTACGCCGCCGCGGCAGCGGCTGCGGCCGGCGTCAACTCGCCCCTCCTCGCCGCGTCCGCGCGCGCGCCCGGGTCTCGCTCCGGCTCGTTCTCGTCGTCCGCCTCGGCTCCATCGGCCACCGGCGGCGCGGCCGCCGA